CAAGTTATCCCACATAGGGAATGGGATCCAAAAAGACAGTTTATGCAACCTGGGATAGGTCCTGGTGCCACTGACAGGGCCTCTCCTAACAGATCAAGTCACATAACTGTCACCCATTCAGAGGGTCTACTTCATGCCCATGCAGGTTCCCCAGCTGTCAGTCCATAGTCCATGAGCTCCCACTACCTGTAACTTTAAACAAAACCACAAAAAGTAGGCAAAGAATAGAGTCAGCTAATTTCCTCACACACATACAACTTCACAGACTGGCTACCATCAATGAGATGGTAAACATCTGTTGAATACTACTAGCATTGATAATAGGCTTCAAAACAGTTCAAATAGAAACATAATTCAAGAACATTATGAAATGAATTGCTTCATAACCCCATTTGGACTTTGTCACACTAACTGAAATTTTACCTGAAAAGGCAGTTAACATATGAAAATATAGATAGACATTTTTAAGAAAGCTAAAAACAGAAACCTTAATTTGAAAGACTATTTTTGTATATGTGAATGTTTATGTGTATATATATTTGTAAATTTAGTCAAATATGACACAAAGAGTGTTTCACATCATTTTTTTTACATGCAACTCTTGTCCAGTTATAATCAACCCTTTGTTAATATGCAGATGCATGACTTAGAACACTTGAGTAAGATTCTTCTCAATGAATGAGGTTTCTCATGGAAAGTGTGCTCTCACCATCCGAGGAGATGGGAAATGTTCTTCTGTACATATGTTTCTCTTACTGGTCAATGAATAAAACACTGATTGGCTGATTGGCCAGACAGGAAATGACATAGCTGGGCAGAAATTTGCCACTAGCTAACCACAGATGTCTGGAGGTCTGTACCTACAGACAGGAAGTGACATAGCTGGGCAGAATCAGGATATAAGCAAGGGCAAACAGGAAATTGCTCTCTTCTCTGCTGAGACACTTAACAGTCGCCATGTGAGCTGCAAAAGGAATTAGATAAGACCATGTGGAAATACTTAGATTAATAGAAATGGGTTAATAATTAAGACAGAGCTAGCCAATAAGAAGCCCAAGCCACTGACCAACAGTTTTATAGTTAATATAAGTCTTGTGTGTTTATTTGGGGCTCTCAAGGACAGTGGACTTCTTGTTACACTGAGGTTCAAGAGTAGAGCTGGGTGAGCAAAAGAGACGACAGGCCCTCATTCACTCCTCCCTGGGGCTCGCACTCACTGCAGCTGATGCTCTACAAGCACCGCTAACAGTCAAGTTCTGCCTGATTCAGGATATGCATGGAGGGCTATTCTCCTACATGTGTCTTTCCTGACAACACATTAAAAGTTTGATGGAGGACTATGTCCAACAAAAATGAACATGTGTGTACACAATTTTATGCTGTCCACATTATGATTCTTCTTTTCCTCAGACCATGACTTTTATCTTTTTTTTACTTATGTATAAATAGGACCATATAGAATAAACTGTTTTGTACCAGGCTTCTTTGCTCCACATTTAGATTTGTGAGATAAATAAGTTATTACTTTATATTACTAGTACTATTAAAAAATCACAAACTTGTCTATGTAGTTTTGGTATAATAATATATTTCATGTGTGCTTTTCAAAAATGCAAAGAAGTAAAATAGTATAAATTTGTTTTATGTCACCTTTTGAATTTTACTACAAGAAAGGAGTTTGGGAAAGTTATTAATCAAAAAGAAGGTTCTAACATTTCATTGAAAACTTCAGACAATTCCTACACAATTTCAATCCATGCCTTATTACATTTTAGTTCCCACAATTTAATAAATACAGAAATATAAAAAGGAAATAAAGTAAACCTAACATCTATATCTGCTGAGAGAATTTTATTTACTTATATTTATCTAGTTATTTTTGGTCTGGGAATCAAACCCAGTTCCTTTCTATGTTGACAAATTTTAACTGCTCAAAAAAAAAAAAAAAAAAAGAGGAACAATTGTATAGCAGTGTTAATCCTTCAAGCAGTAACACTGCATTGTTCTGTTATATGCAATCACTTTCTAGTTGTGTAGTCTACTGAGTTTCCATAGTCTTTTCTTATCACTGAAAAAATTTAAAAAAACATATACAATTTATGATATTTACAGTTACATCTTCAGGTAACTTTTAGGTACATGAAAGTATTAAAACTACTTTCTATAATAAAAGTGAAACAGCAAAGAAAAAGATCAAACCATATAGAGAACTAGACTACAGAATGGTAGTCTTCAGCAACATTAAATTAGGTTTAAATTCTAAAAGTAGGGACAAGTGAGGGCTCTAGAGTTAACACTCAAAGGGAAATACTGACTGCAGTCTCTGATGACTAGTCTTCATTCAACACTGCTGCACGGAGAATCACCTAGAAGACAGGTGAAGAGTACTTGTGGGCATCTCCAGAGGATTGACAGAACAGGGCAGATACACACTGAACATCAGCAGCACCAACGCAGTGGCTGGGGACTCCTGTAGAACACAAGTGGGAAGGAGGAGCCAGCAGAACACAGACACACTTGTCTCTCCCTCCTTCCTGCCATCAAGTGATTTGCTGTGCTCTTCCACACCTGCCCTGACAGGAAGGAAGGAACCTCTAAAACCAGGAGCCAACGGGTCTTTCCTGCACAGAGACAAGACAAGTGACTAATAGGCAATTCAAAGTGTCCCTTTTCAACAGCAATGGCTTTGAAATATCAGGTTGAAATTGAAACCAAAGACTAAATTGGCCATTTCAACTGCTTAAAGAGAGGATCGGCATCTCCTATACTCCCAAGCCCTTCATGTCTTGGGCACAACTATGTCACAATAAAGTCACACATTTCTTCACTAGCATCTCAATCATTATAAAGCACCCTAATTAACAAGAATGCATTTACATGGTTACAAAATTCTGGGATGGAATTCTAAGAGAGAAGCAAAAGAGCATATCTGAAAAGGTGAGACAGCATTCTGAGTAAGCTCACAGATGAAAACAAAGTGAGACCAGCCATGGCAGGCAGGATCTTCAGACAGGACGAGATCAACACCCAGGAGAGTTCCCATGTCCCCAGGGTCTATGAAATCAGGTAAAGAGCTCCTTCTCTCTGACAGGCCTGGTATTACACTAAAGTTGTTAGATACTCAAATATGAACTTATACACATACTTCTGCCTTCTCTGCCATCCTCAACTAAATGTTTAACTGCACATAAGAAATATCCCTTATTAAATGAACTGAAGGAAGATAATTACATGAAGGCACAGTCTAAACACAAGATTGTTTTTTACCTTTGTGCATATTCAAGAAAAAAAGTTTGCAAGAAGTCAAGGCAAATTTTTACGTCATAGGGTTGCAAAATGAGATCATACTTAGGCCAATGAAATAGCACAATTTTTAGATCCACAGCAGTTAACAGTCACTCCTTGGAATCTTCTCCATTTGGAAAATAGCCAGCTTCTGCTATTTACTCTGGAGTCCTGACTTCACGATGACTTCCTCTGTTATTTTCCATCTTGGTTATTGCTGCTATACTGGGTGCTAAATTGTTAAGACCATCAGGCAAGGGTTCAAATGAAGGCCCTGACTACCTAGGGGATGGCAGTCACTGATCTACCAGGGAATTTAACTTATCGTCTAAAATAGTTTCTGTCAACTCCAAATAAAATTTGCTATTTTGGTACAATCCTTTCAAGCCCTTGATGAGTGTTAGTCTCATAATGAATCAAGATGACAATTTAATGTTTAATGAGTATAATTGCTTGCCTTTTGATCCCCTTTATGGCATCTGGTTCAGAGTTGATGTGAACAAATAAGCAACAAGTCCTTGTGTAGATAAAAACATTACTTCTTGTGATGTCATTATTACATAAATTATTCTAAGATGCTTGTTTAACAAGTAAGACAAGGTATTTTACTAATAAACAACTCAAGAGGAAGAGCTGGGCTGCAGTCTGCCCAGGGAGAATGTGAAACGAAGATGCTTGGTGGGAGGTGTCCTTTGGTGCAGTTCTGTAAATGCCTGTGGTTTGGAGGTTCAGGAAAGAAAACAAATTAGCTAGGCACACTGACCTTAGGGAAGCCCCTCCTCCCTTGCATCCCCTGGATCAGGTGCCACGCTGACCTTCCTCCAGTAAAATTCCTTCTGCTCTGTTCTGCCAAATTTCTTAAATAACCTACCAAATGGTCACAAGGTCCTCTGGGAGTGTGTTTTCTTACATTGCCTGATGTATGCTAAGAACAGAGTATTTATTAAGTAAATCGGTATTTTTCCAGCTAAAACTTTGACAGTAAAAAACAAAGACAGTCAAACAGTTCACTCAACCTAAGTAAGTGGATGGGAAAGGCAAGCTTTAATGTCATGCATCGGGTCAGAAGACAAAGCCCTTCCTAAACAATGCTTAGGTAGTAATCCATTTGTGAACATAACAAGTAAAACACTTTATTACCCAACAAAATCTGCACAGTGAATTCTAAAGGCCCTAAGACCTAAATCTCATTTTTGTGAAAATGTGTTTCCACTTAAGAGGAAGAGGGCATCTGAAACCACTGAGTTCTATTTTTTCTCATTCCTATCACTTAAAAACAGCTGAACTGGTTTTTCTGTTTAAGAAAAAAATCAACTAGTAGACTAAGTCTGAAAACAGAGATCCACGATGGGAAATCAATGTGAAGCAATACCCTACAAGGCTGTTGTGAAACACGACACTCACAGTCTAGTTAATTTGGCTCTCAATGTAGTATGAGCCACTTGTCTGTCTTTCAGTAGTGTTATTTTCAGTGTACAGGCATTTTGCCTGCCTGTATGGGCATCCATGCATCCAGGGCCCACAGAGGCCGTAAGGGGCTTGGAATGCTCTGGCACTGAAGTTACAAAAAGTTGTCAGCCTCTAAGTGGGTGCTGAGAACAGAACCCAGGGCCTGAGGAAGAGAGGCTAATACTCATAACCACTGAGCCATCTTCCCAGTCCCAAGAAAGAGCAATTTTAAAACATTAAATATTTTGCAACTTTGTTTTACTCACTTCAAAACTTCCTCAAATTTATGGATCTTCCTCTGAGTACCTTCTTTCTCCTTATCAAGTTCACTCTGCAGTTCATGAACCTGCCGAAAGAGAAGAGCACATGAAAATCACTGCAAGGCAAGGACACTCAGATATAAAGAAACAACCTCAGATCCCCTGGGATATGAATTCAAACAGGTATTTCATGGTAGAAACCTGCTTAACCATGGAATAATTTCAATCTTCTACACCCAATATAACTTTCCAATTCAAAGCAAATAATTATTTACTTACAAATGAACTGCATATATCAACTTCAAAAATGCACCAATCACTTTGATTTTTAAAAGACCATAGTTTTGGCTCAGCAGTGGTAGCACACACTTTAATCCCAGTACTTGGGAGGCAAAAATCTCTGGGAGTTCAAGGCCAGCCTGGTCTACAGAATTAGTTCTAGGACAGCCAACCTGTTACACAAAAAACCCTGTCTCAAAAAAAAAAATCATAGTTTTGACAAAGGAAAGAATTTTCATAGGATTGAAAAGAATAGAATAAATAATGTGTCTACATTAATGAGATATAGAAGGGTTATTATGAAGTCTCCTATTGCTAAGCATGACTTATGCACCCATTGGCCAAGTTTGGAACAAAACACCCATCATGATTGCCTCTGTAGCAACCGTTGAGTAGGCTAAAGGAAAATTCTCTCCACACATTCAATTATGTGGTGTGACTACTCCGTGTGGACATTACAGGGACCTCATAGAACAGAAAAGGAAGTTTTGAGCAGCTGGGCAGAAAAGGAAAAGTGAATGGTAGTGCAGTTGTTCCCACACAGCAGTGAGGCTCCAGAGTCTCCTGAGCCTCCTGAGTGCTAAGGAAACTCTCCAAAGTAGCGCTTCCAGATTTTCTAGACACCACTGTAGCACTGAACATGAACCTGACAGGACAGTGAGAGGAAAGCAATGACAAGAATCAGACTACACACAGGCACCTTCCCTACAACACCCCACACGCGCACGCTAAAGCCATGTCATACATCACATTGGAATTAACCAAACGTAATAGCTATTTTTCACCAGTTTGGCTGGACCTGTTCAACTAAAATCTCACATTTTTCTGGCCTTTCTTTTTCTAGTCATCTTGAATTTTTCCCTTTGTGTAAGGCAAATAAATTAGTAAAATCAACTATATTCTTCTAACTAAGTCCAGTGAGGCCAGAGAGGCAATTTTTCATAGTATCAAAAAGGCCTCTTCTGGTTTCTATGATGCAACCACTAAGTCAAGACAGAGCTGAGAAGTAGAGGAGACAGCACCTGCTGAGACAGAGCTGAGAAGTAGAGAAGACAGCACCTGCTGAGCGGCGAGTGACCAGGAGAATTAGCAGCCACAGCACCCCTTCCTGGCACTGCAGTGACCAACGTAAAATATCTCATAAATACTATTTCTTTTTCTTATGAAGAGAAAAATCACTTCATCTTGAATATCTTTACCATTAAATTTATTTTACTTTACATAAGAAAAAAGAAAAGAATGTTCACAATTTACCAGACTCAGACTTCAATTGCTGTCTCACTTCTTATAGATCCCTGGTATATATTAATGACAATGCTTGGCATATAGTAAGCATGTTAAATTGGAATATAAACAAACTTTAAGGTTTTTTTTTTTTTTGGAAACTCCAGCTAGAATTCTAGGATGAGTTTAAATGGTCATACCCCCACTTGTCAAGTTATTTAGCATGTTGTGTCTCAGTCCCTTCTACAAATGGGGATCACCAATAACATATCAAAGTACTCTGATAAAGGAGAATTACTTCAGGTAAAGCTCTTATGAATGTGAGGACATAAGAAATTCCCAGTCAGTGTTAAAAATTGTAATTACTATGTTAGATTGAACACTAAAGTATTTATTTATTTCTCCAGGTCACTATAAACAACAGTCAAAGGCTGTTTGCCCTTTCAGAAAGCAGACCTTGAAGGTCAAGTAACCAGAGTCCTTGTAAGAGCTCTGTATCACTCTCTACACAATCTTAACCTGGTTCAGATCTGGGCTTCCACTTCTCAATACTGTTAGTGTGAGACACATTCCCCTTGATAGAAACATTTTACGACTATCATCCCATTTCTGAAGGGAGGAGGAACTAACCCGGGGGGGGGGGGGGACAAGAAGGGCTCCCCTCTAGACAAGAAGGTAGGTGCTGCTGCACAAGCTCTTCAGCTGTTTCTCACTTATGTTACTAACTCAGTACCTAGCATCCTTACCCACACTAGAGCAGTCATTAAAGGATGTTCTGGGTTTGTTCCCTCTCCACAGAATATTTTAGTATTGCATGCTTGAGATCCTTTTCTTAATTATAATTATACCTTTATTTTATTTATATTTAAAGTATTTGAAGGTAATAAATAATTAAATACCATGCAAGTAATTAATGCATACTGATTTGATGGAAAAGTATATTGGGAATATTATATAGATCATTTTTACATAAAACTATGAAACAGCATAATGATGATGCTACTGCCCAATCTCTACTTTTTTTATTTCTTTTTCATTTGTATATTTATAGCACAGTATTGCTATGTTGCCCAAAGGTAATGTGGAGTAAGATTTAATATGATTTACTTCTCACCTTTCCTCAATATATAGTTAATACTGAACTATAGTATTTAAGGTAGTTAAGACACCTAGTTTACTATCAAACTATAAGTTGATTGGAGCAGCCATAAGCACATTTATTGAACATATGATAAATATGTTTTATACTCCATTTCATCCCCCAAATATGAAGAATCACAATGGAGTATAAAATTGAGCATAGCAAAAGATGAAAACTATCATTGGAAAACCAAAGAATGTTCATTAAAATTTTCTCCACTTACATTATATTTTTCATCTTTTGTTAAATACTTAAAATGTTCTTTAATTTAGTTAAATAAATGCTCCTGTTTCCTAATAAAATTTACATTTTGTTGAGAAAAATTGTAGACATTCCACATAAAGTGTTTAAAACCACCTCTAGCTTGGTCCAAGGACTATATAAGTGTTAATGGTTAGGACAGATAGGTTTATTATAATATTGGTAGTTGCTACAGACATCAGAATAGTTTGAGTCTATGTGATAAAGAAAACATTGAGGAAAGCAACATCTGAAATATTTTTTCCATAATATATATTCATTAAAGAAAGTTTTTTTTCTATTGGTTGATCTTAATTAGTTGTGGATTTGTCACACCCAAGAATCCATCAGAAGCTTAAGTGAGTGCTGACTTTCAGGTTTCTTGAACTACTTTTGCTTAGAGGAGTTAAAAATTGACAGTGTTTGAAAAACAATACTTGCAGCGATATCCACTACAGATCTCTATATAAGGAAACTTCTTCAAACTTCCTATGGGACAGAATACATGGGGAAATCTGTTTTGTTATTTTCTGTTGGTAATGTCAAAAGTCATGAGTAACTGACTTTTGAAATCGTATGAACTATTAAAGTCAATTTTGAGTATAAAACATATTTTGATATGCTAAAAAGAAATTGTAAAGAAGCTGTTAGAGCTTCTTTGTTGTGGGATAAGCATGTGGTTTGACTATATCAATTTGTCTGCAACATCAAAGTCAATATTTAGATAGGAAAATGATGGATAATTTTATAGAAAATGAATGAGTCACTTTAAGCTTTCAAAGATTCAAAGTTAAAACATTAATTTACCACAGATATAAAGCAGTATATGTGGCTGTCTCAATTCTGAATATTTATTGCCACAATGTATTTTTTGTTAATTTTGATAGGATATATGTGTTGATATTATGTGATTGACAATGAGATTATGTGAATTTATATGATGATTTCCCAAGGTAAATAAATATAGCTATTCATTTAAAAAAAATTGAGCTTAGCAAAGAGCACATAGAGGGGCTGGTCCCAAAACCAACCAGCTGGACAGCAGCACTGCACATTAACTACGCTAATCTCCATAGCCTGGTATTAAAAATATGGGTGATGTCATTTCATGAGTTTATTAAGTACTATAACAGCAATTTCATTCATCTTTTTCTGAGTTTGGGAAAGGCACCTCTCCCTTTAAAGAAAACTGTGTCAGCAGCAGTTAAATACACAATCTAATGATTTACATATAAGCTGCTGGAAACATTTTCAAGTTATTTAAATATAATTATACAAAGTACATATGAAGGCTAAGCACTAGATAAACTGTATTTTAGTGTGTTTAGAACTCACATAACATTGTGAACAGTCAGGAAAATGACTTTAGGAGGGAAGTCAAGTCTAGCACGGTTTAGCCTGTGCATGTGAGCAGCTGCCTGTGTTGCTCTCTGGGTAAACAGCACCATCATTCTTTACTCCCAGTGCCTGTTTGGAAAACAAGCACTAGGTTATTTGTAGGAGGCAGGTGTTTCCTTACTAGTAAAATCATTTACTCTAGCCATTTCCTGATTTAACAGATTAGGACACTTCATCAAACAATGACGTTTAGTTTTATGGCCTATTATTTGTTTGATGTTCAAAGATCTGAAGAGCAGGCAACAGCCACCAGAGATCAATAAAGACCATGAGATAATATGTGTGTGCTTAAATTAGGGACAGCATCTGATGCTGTTTCTTCCACCTCAAAGACTAGTGGGATGGTATGCTCCCATCCTGCTGCTTTCGCACAGGCATGAGGAAATAATGTCATTCAGATGGCATTTCCTCCATCTGAACAGATATTCAGAACCACATTTTATACGGAAAGTTATTGAATGTGCACACCTGTAGCACTCTCAAGACAAAAGCCCTATACATCCCATTTAGCTATCCAGTTACACAGTCCAGTCCATATGTGAGATTTATGTCAGCTCTGTGAGCTGTCAGAAGGATATTCCCTCAGGGGGGTACAAGACATCAAATCTTCAAGGCCTGCGATCACAGCAGGTTTAATAAAGAAAAAAGAACAGATGTCAATTTAAAAGGGCAGATTATGGAATTAATTGTGAAACAAAAAGTGACATACTGAGCAATCTTTTCTTTCAATATAAACAATATCTAACATTTGCAATATGAACGATTTTTTTCTTCTAGAGATTGTTGTTTTAAACAAGTCATGTTTACATTGAGAACAGCAAAGTGTACTCTGGTTATTTTATTTAAAAGTGAGGTCAGTTGATAGCTCTTGGAAAGGGAATAGCTGTAGTCACCATGCCTAATAAAGAGGCTTTAGTCTCCTTTCAGGGGTGAACTACAACAGGAATACCATCAGGTCACTGATAAAAATGGAATTATGACAGGCACTCACACATTGACATTCCTGAAAAATGCATTTACTCCCCACTCAAACTCACAAGGTAACTGAAGGCAACATGAAAGCCTGGCCAGTTTGTGTCAGTCTCCTTTCCTTCTGGTCACTTACTCACCTCCGAAGTAGTGAGAGGTTCTCATTCAAGACAAATCTGTCTAGGAGCCAGTGCTACCTAACCTACCTCAGCACCTTCATACCAAAAGCACAAGGACAAGAGTAACTGAGGGATCTTACTGTCAGCTTTTCATTGTCCTTGTTCCAGACCCCACAAAAGAGCAAGCAGTCTCCAGTTATTGTTCTGATCTTTGGACTCCAAGAACAGCAGAGTCTAGCAGGACAGAGCCTGGAGCATGAACAAGCTTCTCCAAAGGAGCTTCTCCAAAGGAGTCAGCTTGTTCCCTCAAGCAATAAAGACTTCTTCAGATCACCTTGCAGAACCGGAGCTGATATGCTGACCACAGAGGGACTAGGACTGTTGTACTATGCATACCACTTGCCCTCCGACCATAATTCTTTCTCTGTTTAAACCTAAATCTCATGTCTATTCCCAGAAGATGGGATGGGGTCGCTGAACCACTTTTCCTGTTCCACCGATTAAGTCCTCCTTTTGTTTTTCACTACTGCCTGGCTCTGCAGTATGCTGGGAGATGACAAAGCATTTCTTCTGTGGCTACTGCAATGTGGGCTTTTGTCCTAAGCTCCAGTTACAAAACCAATTCTCATATTTCTTTCCTTTAATCTATTCACCAGGGAGAAAGGCTGATAGCAGAATCTTAGTTTACTTGGTGGCCAAAAACTCAAGAAAACAGTAGAAGAAAAGGCTATCTGGGTCTGTCTTTTTATGGCATAGTTCTCAGGTGTTCCTTGCTCCAGGGTAACAGTCCATGCTGTTCCTTCCATAGGCTAGCAGACGAGAGGAAAGCTGGCACAAACAGGAAGAGAAGAGTAGGCCAGAAAGTTGTTCCATAACGGAAGAGAAGTCAGAGGTCTTCACAGGGCATGATGGATGAACAAACAGTACACCCAGACTAACCCAGTACCTTATACACACAGTGGAGTAGACTTCTAGGTTTGTTTGTTCGCTTATTTTTTGGTAAGCAGAATATTTAGGGAACTGTGTTTCTCAGCAATAGTAACTGAAATACTTCAATAAAACATTATTTCCACTTCCTGTTCAGATAATACTTTTAGATATAAAATATATTAAACACCTTGCATTGAATTATAATGAGTAAGAAAGTAATTACAACTATAAAAAGCATACAAACACAGATCGATATACATCAGAAGAAATCCTTTTTCATAAGTGATGACCACATTTTATCCTATACATCTTTTGGATGTGTTAAGCTCTTATAGGGCAGAGTGCCTAAAAGGATGCTTTGTCCAAATACTGAAAGGGTATCTATAGAGAAACTAGGTAGACAAAAAAGATGTGTTACAAAATGGATTGAAAATGCTGTAATACACACTAGGGTTAGCTTTAGTTTATACATATTTAATGGAAGGGTAAACCTCATTTTTTATTGTATGTATATTTTACATGTGGATTTATTTGGCAAATATTAAAAGTAATAACAAATCTATCAATAAAACCTTTGTTATTTCAACTGCTTTTACTTTCCATGTCTTATAGAAAACAATTTCAAAACTGAAATGTCAATCACAAATCTGTATAATGCTGCCTAATGTATTATTACTTTAATAAATCAGCTCCCCTTAACTGCATTTAAAAGTTTATAATTTCAAATCAAATATATTACCTTTTTATCATAGGTGTGTTTTAAATGATTCCTCTCCATGTGAAACTTATTTTCTTGATCCTGTGAATGATAAATGTTTATTTTGGTATGTTTAATATTACCTTTAAAGTTAATAAAATTAGTGACCCAATAAAAGCAATGAATGCACTTGATGGAAAATTTTACTTCAGTGTGTTGTATGATATTTGTTTGTTCACTAAGAGAACCCTAAGCACCTAATTCTCTAAGTCAGAAAAGGGACATCAGCAACTCTACATTACAAGACATAAAACCTTAGCTGTATGGTGTCTTTAAGGACAAGGGTCACTGGGACCTTTAAGATAAGATTAGGAATAAGCAACTAAGTTAAGATTGCAATGACAATTATGAAGTTACTTGATATCCTTGTACTTGATGCTCTTTAAGAGAAAATTAATGCTATGACTAAAAGAGAAAGGTGAAGAAAAGACAATGGAATTTGAGAACTTAAAAGGGAGAATTTTTCTAAAATAATATACTTACAAAAGAGATTTTTCTACATTATAAACAAAAATTTGATGGGCTGCTACACTAATAAGACGTAGCAAGAACAGCAAGTAATATATACATATTTAATATATACCCTACTCATACTAGTGATAATGCACATTATTGACAACAGCATACCAAGTAATAAACATTGGAAGTTAATTTTAAAAATATTTAACATAGGGGCCGGAGAGATGGCTCAGCAGTTAAGAGCATTGGCTGCTCTTCCAGAAGACCCAGGTTGAATTCCCAACACTCATCTGGCAGCTCACAACTGTCTGTAACTCCAGTTCCAGGGGATCCAACATCCTCACACAGATACACATACAGGCTAAACACCAATGCACACAAAATAAATAAATAAATCTTTAAAATATTAACATATTAAAATATTAATTTATATTTAGTACATTTAGTACATAGCTAATACATTATGTTTAATATATTTTGATGATTTTATTTTAAATTGCCATACAACATATTATATATCATTGTGGCATTTTGAACAAAGTATTTGAGTACACTGTCCTCCCCCTTATATTCCCCATTGCTCTGCTAATCACAGTCCCCGTTGTCCTCACCCTAATGTCCTTTTCTCTTCCATGCTCCATATGTCCCTTTCCCAACCTCATCTACCTTTACCATGCCTTGGTCTCCTTTCTTTCTTATTTTTTTTCAGTTTTACCGACATTCCTACACACACACACACACACACACACGTACACATAATGGGCTAGGAACTACATTCATATCAGAGAAAACATTCAGAGTTTATATTTATACATTTGGGTCGCCCTGCTTGATATTAGAATTTCCAAATTCATCTATATTCCTGAAAATTTCAAGATCTAATTCTTAAATCTTTGAAGGTTGTATTTATAAACTAACCTCAGAAAAGAGATCTTTCAAATCAATTTGTCTTTTATTCTCTATACATTAGCCTCTTCATCTGTGAGATAAAATGCCAGGAGTACAATCAGAAATGGCTACATTCACAGGACTTTTCTAAGTTACTTTTTTAATTGACTCTCATTTCTGAACACAGGTCAAGAAAGTAAAAGAACTGGGATATGGATCTGGCTAAAGCAGACTCACTTTTGTTTGCTGTTTCCTCTGAAGCTCTGACTCCTGGATCTGCTGTTTTAATTGACAGATGTTCTGTTCCAATTTTTCAATCACACCGGATGTCTGTGAGGGTAGCAGAACAGAGAGCAGAGATTCCACACTTAAAGCTGACATAAAGCCTACCATTTTACCCCTGAAAGTTCAGTCAGAATTTATCTATAAATCTGAATAAAAATATTTTTAAACATAATATTAAACTTAAATCTATTTTAAGTATACTGCAAGAGAGACAGTGAGCTGAGGAGAAACTGGAATATCATTTGAAGCCAAAAATTAATATTTTGAAGTAACAATGTAAGTTAAAATCTGCATAATATCTAATGCTATGAAAATATAATGGTGAAATAAAATTTTATAGAAATTTTTAGAAATTTACAATAAGAATAGAACAAACATTTCAAAGCAACAGCACCGTATGTGCACAGTAGCCATCAGGAAGCATTTCTTGAGATTCCTTACTTCAAACCTCAGTGCTCTACAGGGCAGTGTCGAGCAGAACCAGCTATTCAGTGCCCTGTGAGCTAGGGGACACTAGCATTTCTGGTGTTCTAAACAGCAGCAAATGTTCTGAAGTCTGTGATTTCAAGAAGCAAACGTTGAAGGGACTAATTTCAACTGGAAATGATTGGCTGCTCACAGTGGAACACTCGTGTAAACAGGGCCTCCCACACATACAATACCTTAGAAACGGAAAGCTCGTGCTCTTGTTTTAGCAGGTTTAGGTCGGAATCGTATTTGGTTTTTAATAATTTCATATTTTTCTCATAATCACTTGCAAGATGTTCTTTCTCTTTATGTAGTATGTTACGCCTAAAACAATAGGATAAAAAATGACTTTCTATAGTTTTGGAGCCAATCTCTAAAATGGATATCTTAATCAATTAAATTCAAGTATATTATCTTTCAATATATGAAGTGTCCATATTTTTATCAACTGGTTTCAAAAATTATGTTCTAAAACACTTTTAGAAATTTGTAAACAATCCTAGATAGGTGGAACATCCTAAGATTTACTGTACAAAGTCTGTGTGACTCTAGAAGGCGCTTTATAAAGTCAGCCAGTGCTGGTACCCACAGACAGCTGACTCAGCACTACCTTGTCTTTAGTTCTTGTAATTCACTACAGGTCATCTGGTAACATCTCTCAAGCTCCAGTTTTTCTTGAATCAATTTCTGCCTTTGTAGATTGCTGTTCTCTGCTTCCCCTGTCAGCTGCTGGACACGGCCCTCCAGTTCTTTGATCATGTGGTTCTGAAAGAACAAGTTGTTAGGAAAGTCTCAAACTAGCCTTTCAAGTGTGTGAGCCAGTAAGCACTCTGAAGAAACATATTGCCTACAAGACTAACAAGAACAAATAAGTCATAGTCAATATTAGTAAAAAAGAAATCTCTAAACCAAATCTTCTAAAAATCACCTTTGTACCATAAAATTACCAGCATGTTTACACATATCCAACCATTTACTCATTCATGGAATGTTTACTGAGTCTGACATTTCCCAGGGGAGCAAAGAAGACAGACAAGCCCACTACTCAGGCAGACCACAATCCCTCTGTGCCCCCAAAACCAATTATAGCTTACATTTGTCATTTTCTCTCACAGATTAATAATGATATTTCATAATGAAATCCATAACCCTATATATTAATTCCAGGAATAACAGATAACATATTCATGATTAGCAAGTATATGGGAATATTTTATCCCATAAATTCTTATCCCCTTCATCTGTAATGATTTTTTCTATTTCATTTAAAGCAGTTCTCTATTTTTCTAAAATATTCAAAAGTAACATTCAAATAAATTGCCTCTTTATTACTTGGTATTTAAGTTATTTTGAATTCATCACTTTGTCGGGGATGCATTTAAAACCCAAATGAAGGTGTTTAGGAGCTTCACCATGCTTTATTCAAAACTGTGCTAAGCCAGCATTAGCTGAGAGACAACTTGTTTCCATTTTAACAACCACACTTCTAATAGACACAAGGAGGAAAACTTAGTGTGGCATTTCTTTTCTAATGTTTTCCTACAACAAAGAGTTAAGATAAAGTTTAAACATTACTGTTAAAACCCAACCCCTTTCTTCATTTCATCTTTTCTTCATTATAAAACTGAATGGATAGGCAAGTTAAATTTTGGTGCAACAACTTCCAAATATGTGGAATGAAAATCATTCTATCCACCTAAACACAGCACACTGATGGCCACAGTCTTGTGGCTTCTTACGAACCACTGCACACCCTCTGCCTGTTTGCTGAGCTGAGCATCCCCTGAAGAAAATGGGCTCTGTTTCTAACGTTCTCTAAACGACCCTGGCTCCCTACATAGCAACTGTGACACAAAACCAAGCAGGACTCTTTTGCTCTCCAAGGGGACCCGTAGAACTTCTTTTGGGAACCGATAAAAAACAGACAACAGGTAGGAAAAGTAGAACTGCAATTCCACCTTAGTGATATTAGGGAGGCTCATTCTCCCAATAACAACACTTAAAAACACAGAAATGAGTCTGAAAAAATAGCAGGAAGGTGTTAGGGGATGCCCAAGGCAGATTGGATATAGGGAAGATGAAGAACCACAAAAGATGAGGTAGCATTGCCCCCTTCCCCTTTTTATCTAGAGGTATTTTCTTTTTTTTTAATGTGGAAAGTTTACTGAGGTAAGGAAAGAAAGGAGAAAGAGAGAGGGGGGAGAAAGGGGGAGAGAGGGGGAGGGAG